AGATATTAAGGCACTTATGTAACATTTAACCAATTTTTACTGAAATAAATACATAAATGTTCATTCACAAAGAAATACTAATTAAAGAAGTATTATTTGATAACTCGAAGTTTTTATGTGTCACATCGCAGTTCGAGTTATCGAAGTTCGATTGTATATCAAAGGTAAAACAGCGGCCGCTTTAACATGCTTTATTTGTAAATAATAGCAAATGTTTAATGTTCAATAAAATTAAAATGTAAATACTATAAAAAAAAAAACATTAGAAATAAGTATTATTATGGCTTTATGTATACATACATACAGACATACACGCATAGTATGTACGTAAATGAAAACAGCTAATCTGAGGACCATTTTAGAAAAAGAAAATTAAAATTAGAATTTGATGTTCCCTTATCTTTTTATACTATTTTTTACGGGATTTTTTTATAATCACGAGGTTCAAGCAGCCATTTGAACATTTGTGATTCCTTTTCTAATAAAATAATGCTATATTATATATTATACATGCGTTTATATCATCTAACCGTAAATTCAAATTGTTTCACAAAAATTTAAATGCAAAAGGATTGTTTGGAAAAAAATCTTTTACAATACAAAATAAAACAGAGAAAAGTACGACAGAAAATGTAAAATTAAAATATGTACTTAATCCTGAGTTATATCTGCTTCAAGTATTCGTAAAATCATTTGTATTTAACAGCCAAATACAGATGACTTTTTGTATTTTAATTTGATAAGTAATCGATGTAGATTCACATGTCGAAACTGAGATAGCTAAAGCAGCCATTTAGTTGTCTCGTTCCGTAAATGAAACAACTGTTATTTAAAAAGACACAATTCATGTTTGTACACTTTTATTTTTCATTGTTTTGTGAAGAAGATTCTTATAACAGCCATTGCAAGTTTCTCTTCAATAAATAAATCATTATTTTTAACTGTTTATTGTTGTCTAATACACCCATATGGATATGAGAGATGACAAGACAAGGAACCAAATTAAATTTTTGTTTCAAAAAAATTCTCCGATCCATAATTCCTTTTGGAACAAGTTCAAAAAAATGCTAAGAAACTGAAAACGTCTTTCGAAAGATCGGGAAATTTTACAAAAGAATAACATATGATACTTGTTTCTTCAATTGAAATTGAACGAGAAATAATTTATTAATTAAGTATACTTCATTTACTTTCTCTAGCGATGTGCCCCTTCCAATGTCTTGGATGCGCGCTGGCAAAATCGTAGGTAGGGAGAAAAAAGCTCATTATACTCTCGACTCTTGTTCATTAAACATACTTTTTCATACAGTACTTGCCAAAAGTTTTGTTCAATCATGAATAGTAGCGCGAGTCGAAAACAAGCGTTAAAGCCTTTAATATGTCTTCAAATATAAATAAACATCTCGTTGATATTTTCAGTAGTAATTGGTACCAATAACAGCACATTTGAGCAATGCAATTTTAGTGGATAAAATGGTCAATTTTTCCGTGCAGTACTCATCGGTTAAGAGTTTGACCGAGAGTTGTCTCCTTTCTTTTCTGGCCTAGTGCTGTTCTTTTCTACTTTGCGCCGGTCATACCAAAGGTCACATCGCTACAGAAACTAAACGAAGTATAGGACTCTAATTCGCGGTGCATCGGTCGCCCATTGCGCTGATAAGAAACCAACTGAATGTTAGATAATAAAAAAAATCACTTTTTGAGTTACTGTTCTTTAAGCGCTTTTTTGAGTAATATAAAACGCTTCATACATACGAGATCTATTCAAAAAGTATCGCAAATTTTGTTTTTTCAAAAATTATTTATTTATCCATGAATATCTATTTTGTCCCTTTCAAAGTAATCCCCACTAGATATTATAATATACTTGTGTCAACGTTTTTTTCAATCCTCGAAGCACTTCAAAAAAAAAATATTTTTTGTGATCTTGTTCAACTCCACCTTCGATGCCGTTTTTATTTCCTCAATTGTAGAGTAACGTTGTTCTTTCATGGGCCTCTTCAGTTTCGGGAACAAGAAAAAGTCACATTTTCATTGATATCATTATCATTTATTAGATATTTAATTTTTATCTAATCTAGGACTAACTCTACCCTTCCTAACTCCTGTTTCTGCCTCTAATATGTCTCTGACTAGACCTTCATGTCTGAGAAGGTGTCCTATCAACATATCTCGCTTATTTCCTATTGATTTCCATAGAGCCCTCTGTTCTCCTATTCTTTCTAATACCTCTTCATTTATAACCCTCTCTATCCAGGGTATCCTCATCAAACGCTTCTAACCTTTTCTTTTCCTTGGCGCCCACTATACACAGTGTTCAAAAATTAAATAAGTAGGCTTTCGTTTAAATGGCCCTTTGAAATATGGGTCCGATCGAAAAAAGTTATAGGAAAAAGTTATTCGGAATGTCAAAGTATGCAAAAAATCGCGGCTATATTCAAATGCTTTTTGATTTGGTTGAAATGACTGAAAAGGTTTGCAATTGGATAGATGAAAGTGTGGAGGTATAAAGGATTGCAATTTCACAACCACATAGTTTTGAAAAAAAATACTATATTTAAACTGCATATAATTAAAATAAAAAAATTCAACGTAAAATTACCAACGTCAATATTGAATTCTTTAACCAATTTCAAGTAAATCGGACCACAAATAATGTAGGTTCCATTTAAACATTGCAACTCCTCTTCACCACTCATCCCCCCCAAAAATTTTGAGCTCTACTCATAATATTTCAGTCAATCGTATATCACGTACTTAACCTAATTTTTTTATAAATAAACTTTTTTACGAAAAAAATCCAAATTACATAAGAATTGATTAAACTTATCTTTTGTACTCAATAGCAATCAAAAAACAAAATGAAGCTTAATTTTTTTTTAAAATTAACTGTAAATATAAACAACTTAAAAACGATAAGATAATAGCCCTTTTTCAATATTTAAAACGATAAGGAAATTGCAATATCTTAAGGGTACATATGAACGCTTTTAGTTTTTATGCAAACAAACCAACGTTTATTGCCATTTGGATCCAGCACCCCAATAATTTCCTAGGCCTTTGTACCGATTCACGCGAACTGGTGGATAATATTTTGCAAACCAGTGTCGGTAACTGCGTAAATGTTAGTGTTGCAAAAGACCTCTGCGTCCGCTTCCGCCTTTACGGAAGTTCTGCATACTTCACATCCGTTTCTGCATCTGGTTCTGCATTTTTATAACGGAAGCTTACCGGAACTCCATAAAATCTTATTTTTCATGTTAAAGAGTTCATTAAAGAGTCACCTAAAATCATCACACTTCCGCTTCCGCATCCGCTTCTGTTTCTGTAATGACACTTCCGTTGTATCACCAGTAAAAGTATAGACAAATATGGAGGTGTTTCCGATTTCTCCAAGCCATATCAAAGTAAAAAAATATTTTTGGGTGTTTCTTCTTCTAACCTAAAGCACCTTAACAGTGAACTAATGAACTATAAGATCTAACTAGTTTGCGGAAGAATAATGAACAAAGTTGACTGTTCTTTTTACTGAACTAAAATACCCAAGTCCTATGCCCAAGTCTAATTTGCTTCAAACATTCTCGAGATCATTCTTCTCTCCCCCCCCCCCTTCGACCTTTTCCATCTCTCCCACACCACTTATAAAATATTAATCGATTGATAAAATTTTAAGGAAACAACACTCCAATATCCCCAATGTAAATCGAGCATTAGACCAAGAAAGATGTTTTTTAGACAGTATCCATTTACTCTTGTTACATTAATTACGCTCACAGCATTCAATGTCAGGTGTGTATTTAACTTAAACAACTTATATCCCGCTGTATAATTATTCTGTTTTAATTATCAGATGGAACACTTATATTCAATTATTTTAAACAGTTCTAAAGTGGATGGCCCGTGTGTGCGTCAATTAACACAACCATTCGAACTTGGCGAAGCACCTACTTGGGATGATCGAATTAAATTGTTATATTTTGTTGACATACTGGCCGGAAACATATATTCTTACGATCCTGTCACAACAATTTTGAATAGTATTCAACTTGACGGAGATGTTACACCGGTTGTTCCCACAGTACATGATACCCATGTATTTGTGGCAGGACTAAATAGATCGCTTGTTGCGATACGGTGGGATCCTAAAGGTAGTAAATTGCAAGCTGTAGCTACCCTTACAACAGTGGCAAAACAATTTCCAACAAGTCGATTCAACGATGGAAAAGCAGACGCTCAAGGAAAATTGTGGATAGGTAAGTTTTCTTTAATATTTTTAAACTGCTCGTAAGGATTTTTACAGGTACAGGAAGGACTTCAAATAGCATAGATATCTTTTTTTATACTCATATATTTCTCGTGTATCAGGTAAAATTTTCGTTCATTTACAATCGTATTCACATAATTAAACAGTCTTATCACACGCCGAAATGTGGCATTAAAGTTATAGATAATAGGCAATTAAATTAATCGTGCAGGTTTTTTGTACCTCTGAATATGCAATCTTTTAAATAAGAAATCTAATCGTAAAACTTATGCGAAAGATAAATAGACGATGCTATTATATAATAAATAAAAATAAATTATTA